GTTGAAAAAAAAAAAAAAAACTTTCTTTATCTATAGGGCACGACTACAGTGCCTTCACGGTATGGTTCCCCTATTTTACTTTACACCGTTAGATGTTTGAAATTATTAATAACCATCGGATTTACTTAATCACCACTACATTACCATGTGGTGTAAACCACGTTATATTAGACCATCTCCAATGGTCTTTCCATTGTTTTATTTTCTTGCCACATGGCACAAAAAATCCTATGTGGCATGGAAAATGTCTAGAAGGCTTTCTAGATGTAGAAACCCTTCTAGACAACTTCTACTATATATTATAATATTTATTCAATTTATCTTTATTTTTTAACCAATTACAATTTTACACATCACAAATGATACAACAATTAATACTAACCATTGGAGACACAATTTTTTAATTTTCTTTCTCCATGTTATACAATACCATTTCCATTAGAGATGCTCTTAGTTCTTGGAACCCACAACTTGTTAACAAGATAACTTCTTTCCTGCCATTATTTTATGCTTAGTATATTTTTCTAATGAGGCCAAAAATAAATTTTAAATATGGTCTAGATGCCTAAATTGAACAACCACCGATGAGATTGCCGTTTTATAATGCAAATTATATATGATAAATATTGTAAAATTAATTAAGAGTTAATACCACCCTCTTAAAAAGATGAAGAAGATAACAATCCCTCTCTACACATGCTATGTTATTGTTTGCCTAGTGGATTGTAAAAGCAAATTATATTATTTGTTTGTAAACAAACGAGTGTGTATCCCGTGTATGCTGCTGAGAATAATGAAAAGCATAAAGAAATGAAAATGATGAATTCTCATTGATTGCAATTGATCTGTTAACACCGTATTTATACAAAATAAGCTGAGGAATATTTAACCCTAACTAATTACTTCGCTAATTAGTTTTCCAGTTAATGTCTAACTAATAATATCTAACTAATTAATAACAGAATGATATTACTAATTAATAACAGGATGATTATGCCAATAGATGCACGGACGAACTTTTTACTTAAGACATTTTCTAAAACTTTATATTAATCGTAATTGTCTATGTTTAACGTCTGATTATTGTAAGAAATTAAATATAAAATATAAAAAATTACATATTATTTACTTGAATATAATGAGTGTCCCCAACCAAAGCAATATCATCAAACACATGATATATAATAAAAACAATTATATGATCGTCATGATACATGATGCTAAAATATGTACAAGACAAACCATGGACTTTAGACTAGTTTATAAACAGTGACGGAGCTAGGATTTTCACTCATGGGGGTCCGATTTTAATGTTGAATATTAACGAGTTTGTAATTTATGTAGAAATGTTCATTTCATATAAAGTTGTGTTTACTTATAAACATAGATATTAATATGTGTACCTTCAAGTTTTTAAGAACTTATAATCCGTATCATCCTCAACTTTTTCTATGAAAAAAAATGAGATTTCGTGTATTTGTAATTTAAGTTTAATATCTATAATTTATGAAAATAAGTTTTTATTTTTGTTCAAAATTTTATGTAAATTGAACACATTGCATAGCATTCTTATTGATTAGAATTTATCAAATGATTATTTTTTAATAAAAAATAAATAAAATTGAAAATATGCGATTACATAAAAAAAATAACGTAAAAAATCAACAATCAAATATACAATCGATCAACTTCAAAAAATCTAACAATCCAATTAAATTCTAGGTTTTATAAATTATTAATTTGATTTACAATTAAAAGGCCGAAAGAGTAAATTATTAAAAATATTTTAAAATATTTATCCAGAAATTTAAATATAATTATTGTTAGTATACTTTCAATAAATAAATAATATTAATACTTCAAATTAAAATAACATTGAGAAAAAAATTTAATTATTTTAGATATTCTACGTATTTTTTACATTTTTATTCATTTTATAGTATTTTTTATCTGCATATATATAATGATTTAAAAAAAAAATTGAGCGGGCCCACACCCCCTTGGACCTCTTGTAGGTCCGTTCATGTTTATAATCCTCCCTATATATTATTTACAGAATGCGCTTAGCCTACGTGGCTGCTTCTGGTGCTTCGGAATCCTACTTGGCGAAGAATCATGCTTCGTAGTTAGGTTTGAACAAATAATATTATATATTAATAATTAATAATCTAGGTTCGGACATTCTATAAATATTATTTTGCTAACTTAGATATTTTAATATCAATTGTACTAATATAACACTTTAATTCTTTGTAATTTTATATAGTGAGTCACTAAGTAACTAATATATCTCTGGCTTTTGATTTGTTTCCTACAATTATCTATTGAATTGTAAATGTATTTTAAATGTTGATAACTTTTATATTTCTTATCGGTTTTATATATATAATATATTAAATTAATCATCTTTTGATGATCTTCGATTTGACATCCATATTTTGTATATATGAAATAAGTAAATTATATTTATCATTATAATAATTAAAAATAATAATATTTATTAAAATTCATTAGAAAAATAAAATTATTTATATATATTTATGTTTAATGTAGTTATATGTTGTAAGTTAAAAAATTATTATAATATAACACAGGTAAGTCGCACAAATAAAAAGTGTCATACTAAATATAATAATATAAATATTTTTAAAATATATTAAAATTTTCAACTACTTGTTTTCAATAATTTTAGATTTTAAGAACAAAAAAATTAGCAAGCACACGTGTAATACATGGGCGTTGTACTAGTATAAGTATATACTAGTACAACACCTGTGTAATACACGGATGCTTGCTAAAATATTTTCTTTATACTAGCGTTTTGTGACCCGGACCGGCCCGACGGGTCGACCTGGAGCCAGAACCGGTCCGGGTGGTCTATTTGGACTGAGCAACAACGAACCCGGTCGAACCCGGTCAAAACCCGACCGACCCGACCGTAACCCGGTCGACCCGAGGCATTGACCCGGCTGGGTCAACTCGGTTGACCCGGTTCCTATATTAATTTTTTTTTTCATTTTTTTGTTTTTAATTTTCTTTTTATTTTTAAAAATTAAACTATGTATATATATTTATATGGTAATTATATACATATTATTACCACTTTAATTTACAAATTTTACATACAAAACATTTAATTTTGTTATTTTTATGTATATTTATATATCACAAAATACTCCATATATAATTTTATAAATTTTAAAATTAATTATCCAGTTCAGCAATTGACCCGGTGACCCGAAGACCTGCCCGGGTCGATTACCGGGCTGGGTTTAAAAACTACGCTTTATATAAAATAATATATTATTATATATTTTAGTATCACATTTGTTATCTGTGCGACTTACTTACGTTATATTAAAATAATTTTTCAGCTTGTGATGACCATCCGGGAGCTTCTCCGAAAGGATTGGAATGTCAAGATCCAGCACGTGCATAGAGAAGCAAATTTTGCAGCTGATCACATGGCGCGACTGGCCGAGTCATACCCACTGGGCCTTCATCGCATTACTTCCCCTCCCATGGGGATGGAAGCTTGGCTAGAGCATGATAATAGTGGGGTCTCGTACCCCCGCCGAGTCCTCGTGTAGGTCTCGGATCCCCTTTTTCTGTACCAAAAAAAAAAAAAAATAATTTTTCAAACTTTTAACATATAACTACATTAAACATAAATATATTAATTGAGAAATAATTTTATTTTTCTAGTTAATTTTAATAAATTATTATTATTATTATAAAAATAAATATAATGTTTTTTATTTTATATACAATATGAATGTCAAATCGAAACTCATCAAAAGATGATTAATTTGATATATTATATATGTAAAACCAATAAGAATTACAAGAGTTATCAACTTTTAAAATACATTTATAATTCAATGGTTATAATATGAAAATATATTAGAATACAATTAATACATATAAAATGATCATAAATAAATCAACATATTTATGACAATCCGAACCTAATTGTTTTTGGATGAGAATTAAATTAAAATTTATCCAAGCCAAATAATAAAACATGAAAATTTGACACCTAGGATCTCGATGCATGCGAGTCTGACACTTAGGCTCAGCATATTCGGAAATTATATATGGGATATTATATTTTTGCATTGGTATGTTTAACAGAATAAATAACATTATTGATTAATTATTAAAATAGCTATAAATATTTGAGACAGTTTTTAAAAATAAAGATAATGAGATCCACCGGTAAAACTTGCTATGGCCGGTTTTTATTCCTTTAGTGGCATTAATCGCATGCATCAAGCGTAATATAAAAAAATTGATGTGTCAATTAGTGATTGGTCTTAAATTTGACGGAATGATTCCTTTGAATAGCATAAGGGGACTCTAGTATTTTCCATAAATTTTATAATTACCGTTTTATTAGCTTTGCATTTTTTTTTTCTTTTTTTTTTTTTTTTCCTTTTTTCTTATGAACGACCCAATACTCGGGCCCGGCCCATTAAGAATTCTTTTGCGATCTTCTAAAACCGAAGAACACACTCCCCCACTCATTTTCATATTTCGACAAAATTCCGGCAGCGATGAAGACGACGGTACTCAGTCGACTGATTTCCCGCCCCACCTTTCATTTGCAAATCTTCAATCACGCACATCGCACGATTTCTCAAGCTAATGGTGCCCGCGGCTCGGATTTTCCGGCGTCCATGGCTCACGTGAGGTGCGCCTCCACAAAATCCGGCGGAAAAGAGAAGAAACAATCAGCACGGCTTGCCGAGGTTCAGAAGCTCTTGTATCAGGCCGAAGAGCGCTATAAAGCTGACGGGAGTGGTGTCGAGCCCGTCCCCAAATTAACGCTCGGTAAGTATTTCTCCGCGCAATTGTTATGTACGTGTGTAGCTTAGCTGAGCCCTCAGTTTTTTTTTTTTTTTTTT